CATCCCACCTGGCTGTGCTGCTCATGGCTTTGTCTGTGATGGCACTCGGATCCTGGTCTTTGGTGGCATGGTTGAGTACGGGAAGTACACAAGCAGCTTGTATGAGCTGCAGGTAAACGTGTGCCTTCAGTTAGTTCTCTAGGACTGATTCTGTCACGCAGAAACTTAACTTTTACTTTTGTCTTCCTCAGGCCAGTCGGTGGCTGTGGAAGAAGCTGAAGCCAAAAGCACCCAGAAACGGCTTACCTCCATGTCCGCGGATCGGACACACCTTTACTCTTGTGGGTAATAAATGTTACCTGTTTGGAGGGCTGGCCAATGATAGCGAAGACCCCAACGGTAATGTACCAAGGTACTGTGGAAACATCACATCAGTAGTGTGTCTGCTCTGAACAAATTAGAGAGACTAAATGTGTTTTATTCCTTACAGTAGAGCCGTGTAAAAGAGATTAAAGCTGAAAAAGCCTCTGTTGTGTGACTCCTGGCTGTTTGATGATTCCTGGCTGATTTAGGTACCTGGATGACTTGTATGAGTTGGAGCTGCAGGCGCTGACCGGGGTGAGAGGCTGGAACATCCCAGAAACAAAAGGCGTCGGTCCTTCTGCACGAGAGTCTCACACCTCCGTGGGCTACACTGGACTCGGCTCCTCTAAGCTTTACATCTTTGGAGGGATGCAAGGAGGTCGGCTGCAGGACCTCTGGCAGCTCGATCTCGGTAGGAATACTCTTTCCTTAGGAATGTTTATTAAAGATGTTTTTATCCGTTAACTAGATTATCATCACAAATATCGGTCAGGAAAAAAAAACATTGAATAGATCCATTAAACCCGGGGTTATGAATTTTTCACGTTTATCTTTTATTTTGATGGCTTAAAGCTAAACTCTCCAGTCTGTGTTTCAAATAATTAGGATGTTGTGGAAAAGTTCAGGGACTCATGTTGTCACACTTTAATCAGCAAAATACATCAAAACACCTGCAAAGGTTTCCTGTAGCCTTTAAACTGTCTCACAGCAAATCAGTGAAAAGCTGACGTTTGGGTGGAGAAATAAATAAATAAATAAAATAAAGCTGCATAAACAGCAGGCATCGACGTGTTAAGGGGATTGGGAAGCAAAGACCGTTCAAGGATTTGGGAAGCTCCACTGAGAGTTCATCAAGCCTCTCCAGAACCAGAGATGATGTTGGAAGTGTCTCACCTGCACTAAGGAGAAAAAAATCACCAGACAGTTGCTCAGTGCCCTTGTCGCTGATGACAGGAAGTAAACTTTGCATTTTATTTGGAAATCAAAGTCCCAGAGACTGGATGATGAGCAGAGAGGGACCGGATTCCAGAGATCCTGTGAGACGCTGGTTTTCTTTTCCAGCAGGACCCAACTCTGCCACTGAGCCAAAAGCATCTCAGGATCAGAGAACTGTCCTGACCTGAACCCTCAGAGAATCTGGTTCCATCCAGATTAGATGAAACTAGCCAGATGAGCCGAAGGCTGATATCAAAGCAACCTGGGCTCAGCAGAACCGCACGCCCGTCACCGCCTTACACACTTCACTGGAGCAGAAATTCATGCTAAAGGACAATTGTGTAGGTCTTATCAGGGCAAACTGTACAAAAGGACAAGAGTTCTGCGTACATTTTTTGCTGTGTGATGAGTTTCACTTTTTGAGTCGGTTTTCTGATTAAAAGACCTTTAGGTTGATTTTGTAGTGCACGGAGCTAGATTTGTACTTGTGGTTTATGTTCTCCTCCTGCCAGGCTCTATGGTTTGGTCCACACCTGAAACCAGAGGTCCCACTCCTCTTCCCAGAAGTCTTCACTCTGCTTCCATCATTGGGAACAAGTACGGCGTACTTAGATCACAGCGCTGTGTAAACGACTGAATGAATCAGCAGATTTTTTCCTGCTCTGCCTGCAGAATGTACATTTTTGGAGGCTGGATCTCGGTTCCGGAGTCAGAAAAACACATTTCTCAGGGAACAGAGTGGATGTGCACCAACTCCTTAAGCGCTCTCAACTTGGGTTTGTGTTTGTTGTGTTAGCATTTAGACACGCTCCTCGCTGAGGCCAGCAGGCTAACGGATGTCTGCTGTTTGGATCACAGACACCATGTGTTGGCAGCGGCTGGGCCCGGAGCAGCAGGAGGATCTCCGGCCCCAGCTCCAGAACCACGGCCCGCTGAATGATGATGCGTATGCTAGTTGGCCCAAAGCCAGGGCTGGACACTGCGCCACCTCCGTCGGCTCCAGGCTTTACATCTGGAGCGGCCGGGATGGATACCGCAAGAGCTGGAACTACCAGGTGTGCTGCAAAGACCTCTGGTACCTGGAGACAGGTGAGGACAGCTGGAGCCTTAAGAAAACTCACACCTAGAGAGAAAGTTTCAAACGTTTTTCTCTGCCTTCAGACCGACCTGCTGCCCCAGAGGCAGTGCTGCTCATCAAGTCCACGGTCAACATGCTTCATGTGGCGTGGCGACCTCTGGCTGCAGCAGACTGCTACATCCTGCAAATCCAGCTTGCAAGTCCTCTGAGCACCACCGGCAGGTATCCCGTCACCAAACCCGTCCCGCCTACTGGAGCAGATGGGATCGGTGGGAATGAGAAACATCCTTCAGGTGAGAGCAAAGCTTCAGTAAGATCCTCACCGTGTACATAAACCCGTGGTAAGGGTGCGGTTCTCCCTGTAGGGGTAAACTTGGTTGTAAACAGAAAAATAAACTAGAAAAAATGTGTTCTTTCTCAGGCGTCCTGCCTCTCCACCTTCAGAGAGAAGGAACCACAAGTCGGGAAGAGCAAACGGCTCAGGTAGGTGGGACTCCACTCACTCTTTAGCTCAGTCTTTGTAAAACTGACCAACATTTTTCTGTATGCTAATATTGATCACTGTTATAAATGGTAAATGGCCTGTATTTGATATAGCGCCTTCTAGAGTCCTGGAACCCCCCAAGGCGCTTTACAACACAATCAGTCATTCACCCATTCACACACACATTCATACACTGGTGGGGATGAGCTACGATGTAGCCACAGCTGCCCTGGGGCGCACTGACAGAGGCGAGGCTGCAGAGCACTGGCGCCACCGGTCCCTCCGACCACCAACAGCAGGCAACGTGGGTTAAGTGTCTTGCCCAAGGACACAACGACAGCGACAGACTGAGCGGGGCTCGAACCTGCAACCTTCCGATTACGGGGCGAGCACTTAACTCCTGTGCCACCGTCGCTGTTATTTATTTTGCCCGGATACCCTCAGAGACTAAAAATCTATTCTGGTAAGATTGTTCTGACCTAGACGGTCACAAACCCTAAAAGTTAGCACGTTTAAAACATCCTCCAGGCTGATAGAGTAACAGGTGATGTACAAGTCGCCAACAGTAGAGGTTTTGACTACTGGTGGTCAAGCTGTGTGAGATGTGGACATGACCGCTGCTGCTGCTGGAGCAGGTGGATGAGGAGGTGCTTGTAAAGAATATGTGGTAGTGTCGGTTAAACGGACCTGGTTTGAGTTTAAGGAGCAACAGTAAAGTCCTATCTGCTTTAACAGCTCGTTAACGCAAATTTCCTTAAAATTTATTTTTTAAAGGCATTTAACACACAGGCTTTCACACTTTTTGGACACCTCTAATTTGAACATATTTCCCTCCATAGTTTCAGCTTATTATCTCGTCTATTATACTGCTGCGCCCCGCGGGCGGACCTGCAGATCAGCTGGTCTGAGTGCAAATCAACCAAAAAAAGAGAAACCTCTAACCTTATTTTAATATCGACTGAAAATGCAGCAAAGCATTATTTTACCTGCAGTGATTCACATAACTTCTATGAGCAAAACAAAAATGTGAATTAATGAATCTAATCGGGAAGAAAAGTTATTTATTTATTTAACCAGATGAGTCGATCTCATTCTTATTTCCGACAACAATCTGGTCAGGAGGCAGCAGCAACAGACACATAGTTAGCTTTACACCAAAGAACAGATGAGATAAAAACAAACAAGATGAAAATAAGAAAACAGTTAGACATAAAGATAAAGTACTGTTCTCATAGATGTACAAGCAATCAAAACAGACTTAAACAGCCTCTAAGTGCTCCGAAGCACATTGATCAGATTTATGTTTTTGCATTTTTCTCTTCAGTTTAATTTATTCAGAATTTGGTGTTTTCATCACATTTAGCTTGTTTTATTTAAAATATCTTCATCAGAATTGTTGTGTTGCTTTGTTTGACAAAAAGAAAATGACTTACAGGATTTCTGAGTTTTTTTTAAATACGTTTGGAACATTTAGGCGTTTCCTTCAAATTTCAGGAAACTTCACTTCAGCAGAATAATTCTGTAAAATGTCTGAACGGCTCAGCGGAAACCAGAGCAGAGGGGCGTGTTGGGAAAGAGCTGGAGGACCCGGAGTCTGAAGACCACAGTGAGTCATGTTGAGAGCTGTTTTAGAGTCCACATCTTCTCCAGAGGATGTTGGAACGCTGAAGCTGTTTGTGTCGCTGCAGCTGGACAGCAGGTGTCAGTAGCTCAGCTGAGCATCAGCCAGGTCAAACCTCAGAGTTCAAAAAACCAAACTTCATCTGCATTTTTATTTTTTTATCTCAGACAAACCAGCTGCTTCTGCTGACCAGACGTCAGGCTTCCACACTCACACAGATCAGGTCAGACCACGTTCTGAACAGGTTTCCCTTTATGTGACTCATCAGAACTAAAAACTGTGTTCTGGTACCTCCAGGGTCAGGAGAACCAAGATGGCGCTGTGTGGTATGATGTTGGTGTGTTTAAAACACTCTACTGTGAGGTCACGCACTACTTCCTGCCTGCTGAAGGTGACCAGCTGACGTCAGCGGCTGCCAGCAGACCTTTAAACACTAAAGAGGTAAAAACTGTGATGATAAGTTAGATTTGAACATGAGTTTAACAGGATGTGTTTTCTTATGTTTTTTGTGATCATACAGCTGCCCAGGCCTCAGGACTATCAGGGCAGGGAGAAGCGGGAGCTGACCCCAGGTCAGATGTACCGCTTCAGAGTTGCAGGTGTGAACTGCTTCAGTCAGGGAGACTTCAGTCCCATCAGCGAGTTCAAAACCTGCCAGCCGGGTTTCCCTGGAGCGCCCTCCGCTGTCAAAATATCCAAGGTGACCCACAGGACCCCGCCTGGAAGCAGGAAGAGGACCGTTTCATTTACAGACTTCTGATCCGGTTTCAATGTTTTGTTTAAATTCGGTTTGATTTGACTCAGGTGAACGATTCGGTCCAGATCACCTGGGATCCTCCTACCTCTCCATCCGGACGGATCCTGGAGTATTCCATGTACCTGGCAGTGAGGAAGAGCCGCTCGAGCAGCTCGGAGCGGCCGGGTCAGATGGCTTTTATCCGGGTGTACCGTGGAACCAAGATGTCCTGCATGATAGGCTCCGCCCACTTGCTAAACGCCCACATCGACAGCTCTTCCTCTTCCCGGCCAGCTGTCGTCTTCCGCATCGCTGCTAAGAACGAGCAGGGCTACGGCCCCGCGACGCAAATTCGCTGGATCCAAGGTGGAGCGGTTTCACTCGGACGTCAGTCCCTAAAGCTTCTCGTCTCCGCCTTGACTAACGCGCAACTTCTGTCTCCGTAGATCCGATCAAGCTGAGAAGCTCTGCGTCTAAAACCGACAGTGGCGGCGAGGCGGATCTGGATGCCGCTGACAGGTTATAAGCTTGTTATCCAACTTTGGTTTTCCGTTTCAACTCAGCTGATTGTGTTTCTGCTCTGCTTGCAGCTCCAGCTGAGACCAGTTCTGGAACTAAAGTGTGACTCAGGAAGATGGCCGCCTACGCCAACGCCGTGTACATTTCCTAAGATTTTCTAATTTATTTTTGTGTGATGAGCCTGTAAATAGACTGAAATGTTCACGGGATAGTTTCTACCTACAGTTGTTCTGTTAAATAATACTCTAGTTACACAAATAATTTCTATTAATTTAAAACAAAATAAATTTAGACGAGCTGTTGTGCTTAATTCACCACTAACGCACCCAGATGCATAAGAATGAGTCCAGGGCCTGAGGAGTTTACTGTTTGGATGTTTGACACGTCGGTCTGAGACAAACTGGATCCAGGTGGAGAAAAGTGGAATTCCCAAGGAAAGTGAGTTATTTAAGCGTTATTTAAATGCAATGTTCAGAATTTAATTTGAATCATAATTTTCAATATATTTCATTGTAAAATCATTAAAATTGAGAGAAAATGTTGAAAAGCACTTCTTCATTCACACTGATTATCAGAGAATTACCCACTTTTACATTTTCTTTTTGTTTTGCTGTTGAGGAGTTTCAGAAAATGATCATTCCTATATGTGCTTACCTCTGTTTACAAGAACATGTTCTTAATTAAGGTGTTACACATAATTTACATTAACCCCAAATGAAGTATAAACCAGAGTATTGAGTTTTAAATAATCATTCTATGATCAACAACATTTTCCCCAATATATTCCAAATGCAAGGGTTTTGTATTCAGATGTTATATGACTTAAATATTACAGATATTCAGGCGTTTTTGTGTAAGTGAATTGTTTTGTGCTTTGGCTATTTTTAATCAAGCAAAATAGAAAATATTTGACTGAAGATGCATTATAAACTGTTGAAATATCAATATGTAAAAATAATGCTGTGCAACTATTAAAGGTGTTAAATTGCAGAAACGCCCACGCATGGATGTCACTGTGATTGAGATATGGGGGGGGGGGGGGGGGGGCGCTATGCCCCAGGAGCTTGACCTTGAACATTTTTTGTCACACCCTGCAAAAACTGTCAATTCATTATATGAAGAACATTTAACAAATCCTATTATTTTAACACTTTCCTTTCCTACCTTTGTGCATTTTCTCTCTTTTTATAAAAAATAACACTTAATCAATTCATTAGTGGGGTCTATGTTGAAGAAAGATTTTATGTAAGTCCATTAAAAATTAGATATGTTATATTTCCAAATAAAGATATTCATTTCAGTCTACTGCACTTAACAGGGGGAAATGTTGTAGTCATTTATTTAATTTGTTTAATTACAACGTGTGTAATTATAAATGTTACTGAAATGTGACAATAAAGAACAAATGAATAATTGTCAAACTTTTATTCTGCCAAATGAGTGTGCAGTTGACAGTTTTAATATATGAATAACACTGCTATGATATGGAATAAAGGAGTATGTAATTAACTATTACAAGACAAAATAACAGTATATATAAAAATATCCAGCAAGTAGTAGAACTTATAATACAGAAAGTCAACTATACAGATACAACTTGACATAAGGTTGCAGGTCACATGATTATTATAGGTTTTTTTTTCTCAAGGTCTCTTACCTGTTCACTCCTAAACAGAAAACTGTTCAATTTTGCTTGGGAACTTTGTGCTCGGGTAAATGCTCATAACGGTGCGCTCGCCCCTGTTTTCTCTGTACATCACTGACCTTGACCATGCAGATCTCCTCAGCATCAACCACCTGGTCTCTCTTTTGTTCCTCACTCACTCTCTTAAAAAAATCTTCGTATATCCATCTAGCAACACATTGAAAAACATTTTCAATTTCTAATGCCAAGACAAATGCTACTATGCCATTTAGTTTTCACTCACAATAATTGAAACAGCCATTGGTGGATAAATGGTACAGAATATGGACAACTGTTAGCCTAATATAGCCTATGTTTGGTTGCTCATGATGATAGCATTTTCCATAATGTCACATTAAGCTGCCAAAATTTATGTTAAAGTTAGACGGGTACAATATCTCCTTTCTTTCCCATAGGTAAACATGGGAAATATTAAGCAACTGACAACCCACATGGAAAGAATTCATATAAACATATAGGTTTTAATATGTTTTTGATATAGCTTTTGAATATATGTGACATATATAAAATTGGCTGTTTACTATATTATAGATACATATATGTACCTATAATATATATTATAGAAAAAATATATAATATAGAAAAACGGTCAATAATATACACATTCGGCCATATTCTGATTCAGGTTTTTAGTGTGGAGTGATTTTTGTGCCACCAACTGGAGCGTGCAGTGATCAATCTGCAAGAGCACAACCTGCTCTGCAGTCGTATGCAGCCCTCTCTCTGCAAGCTCAACTCCGTCTCTGCCTGCACAGATCTCCCTGTTGTTGCTCAATTTGCAATTTACAAAGCAATGTAGCCTCTCCGTCAGCCAATCAGACAGCTCTCCATTATGCAATCAAAGCATGTCCAGGAAATACTGCCAGGAAAATTGCACTTTTTTCAGATAAAGAGGACTTTATATAATTATATTTAATTAGGTTGATTAACCCTCCTCTTTTCCTGGGACATGTCCACTGTTCACTTCCTTTCACACATCAAGGGATCATTTATTTCTAACCAAACAGAGAAGAAACACTTTATATGTTGAAATTAAAAGTCCTCTTTAACTGAAAAGAGTGCAATTTAACAGTTTTAGGAATGGGCAATGTGTCTTTTCTGGAAGTCAAATATGGTCACCCTAATCATGACACATGAATTGCAACAAAGTATTTTTCAGGCAGTGGATGGTGACTGGTAGCTAACCAGCAGCAGAAAGCAGTTCAATAAGCTGTTAAATGGGTGTTTTTCTGTAAAGCAGTGTTTCCTGGACATGCTTTGATGGGATAAAACAGAGCTGTCTGTGATTGACTGTTGGAGAGGCTACTTGTTGAGGAGAGCAGGGAGATTTGCATGCGCAGAGGCAGAGTTGAGCCCACAGAGAGGGCTGCAGCTCCTGCACACAAGCGCAGAGCAGGTTCTGTTTGTGCAGACTCATTACTGTACGCTCAAGTTGGTGGCACTGAGTCACTCATTGAACTGGCTGGCTCGTTAATCATGTCACTTCAGGGGAGTTTTCCGACCATTTTACTTGACATCAAAGCTTTTCATTATGGTTTGCGGCATGTAAACATGCTAGCGGAGTTAGCATTAGCATGTCTGTGCGGTAGCATTTTCCTCTCTCTGAAGTCTGAACTATAACCTTGAAATGTTAATGGTGTGCTGCTGTTGCTGTCTTACCCTAATGTGATGTTGAGTGACTTACATGAGCGCTGAGCAGGGTTTGCTCATCGATATTTAGGTTTTGCTGTGTCGCCCCTGCCCCTGACTTGTCAACAAAGCTGTCGGGGTTAAGGAAGTGGAGGAAGTCATTTCTTGATACTTCCTGTGTGCGACAGTGTAGTTCTATATTCATTAATTATTATTTCTGTTTCAGACTAAAAAAAACTCCTGTACCAACTACACGTGTCGTGATTGTGTTGAGCATGTAGATGTTAACAAATAAAAAAAAGTTTACTGAAAAAAATAAAATAACCAAAATGATAGGGGGGGCTTGTGATTATTTTAGGGGGGCTGAAGCCCCCCTAAAACGGACCTAACGACGTCAGCGTGCCCAAGTATGATTTGATAACTGAATTTCCTCTATAATAAAAAGCAAACGCCTAAAGGCTATTTGATATATTTTAAAGCAAAAATATTTTTTGTTTTGGTGATTGAAAAGTGGTTCAAACAACTATATATTTACATTTAAAATTATTTAAAAAAAATCACTAGACGTTTTGATATCCCACCGCACAATAATGTCAACAAGTAGCCACAAGAGGGCAATAGTTCAGCATGAAACAAAGATAGAAGATCAAGAAAGTTCACAGCTTTGCATTTTAATCTGCTAAATGCCGTAGATAGTTGCTCCTAAATTTATGTTGCTTACCTTAAATTAGAACTATTTTATTTTTAAACTACAATTATAATTTGGCTTGTGTCGTAATGGGTCCGTTGATTGTCCGAAGGCATTTAAATTTAGAGAAACGTTGCGGATTTCCCATGAATCCATGGTTTGTAGTTTTAAACAACACAAGCTAGCAAACTGCTGGCTGGAGTAGTTTGAAGGTAAGCGACTCTTTGGCCAAACGGTAAAGTTTATTTTAAGCAGACTAACATATGTAATATTTCTTCGGTGAATTGCACTATGCTGCTAAAGCTCCGAATATTCACCAAGCAGAAAATCGTATAGCTTGTTAAGCTAAATGCAGTTAGCTTAAGCTAGCCGCCTTGGCGGAGAAAAGATCTAATGTAGTTCTTCAACCCTCGGAGGCTGTATGAGTTGCGGTTATTTAAACGTTTGTTTCTTTAAATGGGTAAACGAAGCTTAAGCTCTTCGTGTTTAATAATTTTAAACAGCGGAGATTGGCTAGTTGTGTTGTGATTCGGAGAGCGCGATATTCAAAAACGACCCGCTAGTTTAGCGCGTCTGTTCTGTTGGAGGAGAAATGTGGAGTCCTAAGTTATGTGATGAATGTGTTAAAGCCCGATCCTCCCTTCGGAGGGTCTTTGTTGTTCTGCTTCACTCGAGATGCTGTGGTGAACGTGCGGATTTCCGTGAAACCTACCAGGGATCAGTTTCAGAGCAGCTCTGTAGGTGTCCGTGAAACCCGAGCCTTCCGTTTCTTGTTCCAAAAGGATTCTCCTGTTGTCAAACCACCAATAATCTGTCTAAAACGTGAACAACACTGTTCTGTCCTGAAGAGAGTGTCCCCTATCCTTCAGGTGTGGGTGGACAGCAGAGTCTGGACCTCTCTAAAGATCAGAACCACATACAGTACTCAGCCTCTGCTTGGCTCTTCTCTCTGGATGAAGCTGATGCTGTTTTGTTAGAGAACATCCACACACTCCACCTGTCTCATTCTGCATCGATTGATTCTCTGGAGTTTTACAGATTTTCCATAATTCTTTGGTCCAGTTTAGGTTTCTGCACATTCTCTTTCATCCCCTTTCTCTGTTCCTCCTCAGCTGTATGTAGGATGTGAGGTTCTGAGGACACATGGCTGGTGCTCTAAATGCAGAGTTTATGCTGTTTGTAGGTTCCCATCGTCTTCAATCTTCCCAACATGGTCTAAAACCTCTTCAGCAGATGAAGAGGTTTCACGTCCTGATTATTAGAAAACCCACAGAGTCCGTTCTGTTATGTGGTGGCTGACCACCCAGTCCCTGTGGACAGAATCCTCACTGCAGTATCAGAACCCGGGCCGTGTGATGAGCTGAACTGCAGAACTGAGTTCTTATGATGCTTGAAATCCTTGATTTAATGAGGTATTTTCAAGGTTTTAAAAGTGCTTGAAGTTTTAACAAAGTGTTTAAAACTAACAGAAATTGGTTGTAGAAATATAACATTTGAGACATGGATGCAGGCTTTATGTGCACTTGTCAATCACTGAATTTAAAGAGCAAGTCACCCCTTACAAGAAGCGTACTCCACTCCCACTTCATGTTTGAAAAATGCAACAAATGCTGTTGCCTAGCAGACCGAGAGGGTGGAGCCACTAACAAATACACACACTCACGACATTGTGACATCATAATGTACCAGTTTACATCATAGCATACCTCTTAGCCAATAGCAGTGGCAGATTTAAATTCAAATGCAGTGAAGAGTTTTTACCTGACAACGGCACAACACTGCTTTTTTTTGGAAAATCCTGAAAACTCTTTGAACGTTCTTGAACTTTGACTGAGTTTAATTTTGACACTGATGTAGGAACCGACGATTACAGAGTCCTGGGTGACAGATGAAGCAATCAGAGTTTCTGAAAACACAATCTGTATTTTAAAGATTTTACTGTCGATTCATCCAGTCCAGGTCTCATAGCTGATCATTGGGAGTAAAATTCAGTGGACTTGCCCTTTTCTGCCTCTGTGAGTTGCTGTGTAAGTTTCTGCTGCAGGTCCATTACTCTGCTGATATATTCTAAGTGGCGCTGGGCCGTGATTACCTTCAGGATCAGAAGTTGCACTTGAGACAAACGATGTGTGAATCAAAGACCCTCCGTATCCATAACAGCACCGGCAGCTCACTAATCACTAGAGACTGAGTGTGTAGTGGCTGGGGACTCCTCTCTAAACCACCATGGTTACCAATAACAAAGAACCTAACTGCCCTGACTGAGGGAGGCGCAGCTGTTTTTCCTTTTGATACAGGAACAAGAAGTTCTTTGGTGGCTCTGGTCCTCGTTGTTGAAGTTTCCTGTGTGATTTGCTCCTGTTTAGGTGAGATGAGCTCCTCCACGCCGGGTCAGTCGGCTCCTCGCATGTCTAACCTAGAACCTGGGATGGGGAGGTCTGCAGCCATGCTGGGGCTGTCTGCTGGCCTGGGGGGAGCAGAACTGGAGCTGCAGAAGATGCTGATCGATGAGCGGATAAAGTGTGAACACCACAAGACCAACTACCAGACCCTCCAGGCTGAGCATGCCAGGTACAGACAGATCTCAGCAGGTGTTTAGGATGTTTGTAAACAGTCTCATGGCTGTTTTTGTTGTTCGCAGCCTGCAGGACGAGTTGCTGCGATCGCAGGGGGAGCTGAAGCGGCTGCAGGGTGAACGACTGCTCCAGCAGGAGAAGCTGCAGCAGCTGCTGGCGGACCTGCGAGGACAGCTGCTGGACAAAAACCGGGAGCTGGAGGAGCTGCGGCTGCAGGTCATTCAAAAGGAGGAGCCGTTATTGTTCAAAGACGAGCTAACGCGCAGCCATTTTTCTAACTTTGGGTATTTTTGTGTGATCTGATCAGGTTATGACCCCCCAGCGGCTGGAGTTACTCAGAGCTCAGGTGCAGCAGGAGATGGAGGCTCCAGTCAGAGCACGGTTCATCAAGCTGGAGGAGGTAGAGCAGAGAAACTCATCTAAATGAACAAAACCACTTTTGCTTTAAATGATGGTGAAACAGTGTCAGAGGTCCCCGTTGACTTTTAAATTTAAATTTATTTACATAAAAAATAACTAGTGTTTGATTTTTTGCAGAAGCATCACATTTCTGCTCCAACCCTGTTTTTAATTCTCTCCATCATTCCTTGAGTTTGATGCTCCTGATTGGATTTGTTTTGAAGCTCTGTTCTGATTGGTTGTTGGCACTTGGCAGTGGTCGTTAGCATCAAGTGGTTTTAAAAAGTCTCCAGCCTGATTGCTGCTTCTGTCCTCTCAGTGATTTTATGTGACTGTCTCGTAGGAGGCAGAGAAGTACCGGTCCGAGTTCAACAAGCTCCGGTACGACTTCACCGTCCTCCAGTCCCAGAGCGAGCTTCAGAGAGAGGAGCATGCTCGGGTTCTGGAGGAGAGGAGGATCTGCTATGATGCAGAGGTGGGCGGGGTTATCAGCCACTAGAAGTCCCTCAGTAGACGAGAGACCGGGGTCTGAAGGCTGTGGTCTTCTGTGGTCAGATCGCTCGGCTGGAGAAGGACCGAGACGAGCTGGTGGCTCAGTACCAGGGTTCGAACCTGCTGCATGATGGGAAACGGGTGGAGGCTCTGCTGAGGGAGAAGGCCCAGCTCCACGTGCGGCTGAAGGGGCTGGAGGCGGAGGTGGCCGAGCTCCAGGCCCAGAAAGAGAACTCGGGTCAGCAGGCTGAGAACGTCCAGCGCCTCCAGATTAGACAGCTGTCGGAGTTTCAGGCTACGGTCAAGTCACTCGAGGTGACCTCCCCCACACACTGAAGCACGTTATCTGTTTTATCTTCTATTTACTAACAGCTCTGATTGGTTGGTGCTTCTGCAGGCGGAGCGCCAGTCACTGAGTCAGCAGCTGGAGCGGTTGGAGAACGAGCGCCGCCTGAGCCACGAGCAGAACAGTCAGCTCATGGGGAGGCTTCACAAAGCTGAGAGGGAGGTCGGCACCCTCACCTCCCAGGTACGACTCACCTCTGGTCCTCTCTGGTCCTGATGTTGGGCAGAAACACCAAAGTTGGAGATAGTCAGGAGGCCTGGAGGAAATTATCCGCTAATATCTTCCACTTACAATTTTTAAACTTTTCTGTTTGCTGTAGCTTGAAAGCCTGAAGCATTCCCACAAGGTGGAGATAACCAGCATTAAACTGGAATGTTCTCGCTCCAAAGCGGAGGCGGAGAGAGAGAGGGACGCACTGCAGTCCCAGGTGGACGGTATGGATCATCAGTTATCATCCCTCATCCTACGAAACAAAAGTATTCTGGGAATATGCAAGAAGTTTGTAGTCATCTAAAATACTGAATATTCTGTGTGACTTGTTGCCCTCAGGTCTCCTGGCAGATGTTGAAGAGCACAAAGCAGCTGCTGAACGATTCAAGAAGGGTATGGTGGACAAAGAGAAGGAGGTGGTCAGGAAGGTGCAGGCCGCTCGTGAGGAGGAGTTCCGGAAAGCAGCCGTTCTGCACGACGAGAAGTGAGAACCACCTTTAGTTAGGAGTGTTGGAGGTTAGGGTATAAAAGAACCAGACTCTGTGTTCAGACCATGTTTACTGTGTTATTTAATGACAGGCTGGAGCTGGAGAGTCGCCTGACCGCTCTGGAGAAGCAGCGGGCTCTCCAGGAGGCTTCAGACTACGCCTTAAAGGAGGAGTGGGCAGAACAAGTCCGCAGCGCTCAGCTGGGAGAAGAGTCGGCTCGTAGAGAACTCCAGAACCTGAGGTCAGCTTCCTCTTGGGCGAGTCCAGATCCACTCACGCTGGGTTCATTTAGTCCAGCACACAGTTTCACACACCCTCATGAGACCAGAGGGAGGGGCTAGTGAGTTAGCTCGCATCACAGGAGATCTCGCCACAACCTGAAAGGATGGAACGCTTTATCTGTGTGTTTGAACGGAGGAAGAAAATGTCCCCAGAAATCAAAGTTTAGAACAGATCTGTTTGAGGTGAGATGGGTGTTGGTCTCTGCTGCCCCCGATTTAGTTTTGTTACAAAGCGAAAAGGAGTTGGTTTCGGTTTCAACATTTCTGAGTTTCTGTTCCTATTTATGTGGTTTTCGACTGTTTTTCGTGTGTGTGTGTGTTTCATGTGTGCGATAACTGAGGATGATGTTTTTATGTTTCTCAGGAGTAAGCTGCAGCAGCAGAACTCACACCTTGAGGAACTAGAAAGACAGAAAGCAGAGATTTCGGACCTACAGCAGGTAAATTCTGACACTGAAGATGAAAAATGTGGTCCTCTGTTTGCTGTATTTGTTCTCGTTTTATGCGACAGCACAACCGGGAGCTTGGTGTTCAGCTGGGGGTGCTGTCACGCTCTGAAAGTGACCTGATGGAGACAAATCAGCGGATGAGAGACGCTCTGGAACGGGTCAGCGAGGAGCTGAGGGCGGCTCGGGTCCAGTCAGATAGGAGCCAACACGAGGCAGAAAGGTGCAGCTCCTCCTGTCTAGGTTCTGCTGTAGGAGTGGGCTTTCTCCTGGTCTGAAACTGCTCCTCCTGTCTGCGGCTGCTCCTACAGGTTGTTGGAGAACCGTCAGATTGAGTGGCTGGAGGAGAAACGCAGGCTGCAGGAGCGCGAGGCTGAGCTGAAGAAGAAATACTCGCAGGTCAAAGAGAAGCTGCAGAGAGCAGCGGTGGCCCAGAAGAAGGTTAACCACTGATTTCTCCCACACGCCTGTTAGAAGTGTTTGGTTTCGGTGAGAATGACGACTGATGTTTTTGTTTAGAGGAAACTTCAGACTGAAAACAGAGAGAACAAACAGCAGCAGAAGATCCAGCTGCTAGAGGCCAAAGTTGAGGAGCTTGAACTGGAAGCTGCTACTGCTAGGAAGTAAAGTTTAACCCCGGCCTGCTCCAGAACCTTTCATCAGGTTACCAGTGATCTTTAATGACTAAATGTCCATGTGTGCTTTATGCAGATGGTCGGTGTTCTCAGAGGAACAAGCTCAGCTCCACCGGCGTCTGAAGGAGCTGCAGCGTCGACACAACGAGTTCCGACGCCTCCTGCTCGGTGGTCAGGGTCCGCTAGGCGGAGGCCCTACAGGCCTGAACCCCCTCCTCCCCCACGGCTCTGAGGGGCTGTTAACTACCGACCTGGTGAGCAAATAGATAATCCTGCTAACACTCAATCCTGGACTCCAGATGGCAGCAGAGTTACAACAGGTGGAGTTTAAGGAAATGAGACGGGTTTTTTTTTTCTGTACGTTCCTTAAAACAAAACGAGTCCCTGCAGGAAACGATAAAATGGTTTACCCAAATGTGACTGAATGAAAAGTGTTTTATTTGAGCTTTGATGCAGCAAATATCCAGAAGCTTTGTTCCCTTCTGCTGCAGGAGGGCGAGTTCTCGGTTCTAGCTCGAAGGATGGAGAACCTGGAGAGTGCTCAGCAGCAGCAGCTGGAGGAGCTGGCCTTTCCAGTGGAAAAGGAGCAGGACCCCTAAGCCAGCCTTTACAATAAGGAATCAACTCAGATCCAACAAATACTTTTTAAATAGAAACTTTATCGGCTCATTTTTATAAAAATGTTTTAAACATGTTAAAAGGCAGAACTCAGGGTTAACCTTTGTTTTATGTGCTGGTGTTGAGTTAAAAATGCACTACGTGTTTTAAAATTGCACTTTGTACAGACTGTGAATAAAAACATGCATCAGACAGGTCTGTGTGTTAGAGATCTTTACACAAAGGGTTTTTATTGGAGCTAATATTTATACAGGATTAATCTTAATTAGAAATAATCATTTTCACCTTTTCCAGCTTCATAAAACAATCATACAAACTTACATGTGCAAGTGCCTGAATGTGTCACATCAATAATCACACGAACAGAAGCAGGAGCCCACTGTGGTTCTCTTCATTATTTATGACCGGCTTAATAAAATAACCAACAAGACTCCGGTCAGAGGGATTAGGTTCCTTTTGGATATGATCCCAGGCCAATGGAGCAGCAGGGAGAAGGCTGAGTGGTGGTGACATCCTGGGATCAGAGGGTGTGACTCGTGTGTGGTTGGGTCACATGTGGGATGATAAATGAGCAAAACCAACAAAGAAAGCCTTCATAAATGAAAGTGTAACAATGAATAACTGCTTGTGGAAAAATGTTAATTCAGCTAGAGAACACTGATGGGTACGGCGGTTACATCCAGGCAGCACCGAGTTGTTTCCTTGGGTTAAAAGAACACCATGATTTTCTTCTGTTAAAGAAACCCAACTTCAGTCTGTTGTTTCTAAAGATTCTCAACGTGAGCTTTAAAAGTTGAGTTTTCATCAGTTAATAAGCCTAGATATGAGGACACAAACTCAGAGGAACCACCTGAGGATAAAATATGCAGTGGCGCCCCCAGAAAAGTTTCATGGGGGGCCATGGCACCAGAGAATTTTTTGGGGTGGAACACCAATATGATCCTCGTGGTAAATGTGGGAAAGTTTAGCCTGTAGTGATGCAATAAATACTCCTTAACTCACTTTTATTAAAATTAAAAAAGCAACATGAATGCGACTTATTAAAGAACACTGGTCTTCTCTGGGTGTGGACAGTGGGGTGGCCAGCAATTCAGCCACCCCTTGGGGACACCACTGAAAATACTGTTTTTGGCTAAAGTGTTTGTTAACCAGCAGCAGTGGATCCAGTCATCACAAAAATATCTTGTTTTCCACTTCCCAACTTCAGCTCTATGTTGGAACCCGATGAGGAAAAAATGCTTCATCAGTCCCTGATCAGCTTCACCAGAGGTCTTCAGCAGCTCCAGGAGCAGCTTTTCAGTCCATCGAATGTGTCTTTAACATGATGGAGCTGCTCCACCAGCTCAGCAGGAGCTGCATTCTGAGACAGCTTCTCTTTGATCTGTAGGAGACGTGAATGTCAGGGGAAAAAAAGCTGTGAAGGAGCATTTCCTCTTTTTGCTTGTTTGCCTTTGTTTCAGATCAGCAAAATACATTTCACTGTCAGACAAAGAAAATACATTTTTGAGGGACCAAAGCTAGCCAAAGCGAGCTGCTTCGGTGTGGAAACGTAATTATAAGGAACCCCTAAACCTGATAACGGGGTGTAACAGCCAAAGAGGAATGAACTGAATCAGCTTTGGTGCTAACTGGTGAATTGTTTAAATTCAGACGCATTGGAGGGTTTTCCAGCCTAAGGTCAAAGGTCAGACATTTTCCTTCAACATTTTATGCTAGAGGGCAGGATTCATGGTTCCATCAGTTACAGCGAGTAGTCCTGAAGCAGCAAAGCAGCCCAGGCCATCCCACTTCTACCACCATGTCTACCATATGGAATGCTACCATAGGTCATTCATCCCCTCTGCAGTAAGAGTGTATAACACCACAGTTTAACTGGTACTGGCATTATCCTGGTACACAATAGCAACAATGCAATACTCAGTATGCGCTCAACACTTGTGCAATACCTGATGTACATTAATATGTGTGTGTGTACCTTTTGCTGCATAGATCTGGAAACACACGTTTCCTTTTTATTGGTTGTTTTTAGTGGTTGAAGGTTACAATTATAGCTCATTGTCTATGTGTGTTTACCTGTAATCTTAGTATTTTTCTTTCTTTTCTCTAAGTTTATGCACTGCTGCAACAAGTGAATTTCCCCACCGAGCGATTAATAATGTCTATTCTATTCTATTCTATTCTATTATGACAGTTGCTCAAGGATTTCATTCCCTACATATACAAAATCTAACCGTACTGCATCACATTTAGCATTTACTCAGGTCATCTTTATGTTTTTTGGTCTGAAACACTGATGTGACTGAAGGACAAACCCAGTGTGACAAACCCGTCTGCGTCGAACAGGAAGTGACAGGCAAACAGGCAGAAGGAACTCTAAACTCATTTCCTTTGGACAACGTCTCTTGTGACTGCTGCTGTCAGCATCTCAGAGGCATCTGAAGAAATAGCCACTAAAAGCAGGAAGAGAGGACCTGATGAGGACAAACCATCAAAACATTTCTCCTCCTTTTACATTCATCCATCTCATAAGATGATGGCTTGAAAAAAATTACATCCAGCAGAGGTTTCTCTCACTGCATTAGTCCACTTCCTGTAGCTAAACGTTTCCCAGTTTGGACTGGCTAACAGCTCAGATCTGACCATCTGCATCCATTAGGATGCACCAAAAAGCTCCTTTAGGTAGATTTTTTATTTTCCTCCTGACTTTCAGTCTGGTTAAACGGTTTTTGCGGTGATAACTCTATGACCTGGAACTGTTGCTATTTTTATTTTAAAAATCAAACTCAATCAGTTTTCCATCCACGGCTGCTTTGCTAAAACGTATCAACACGAATGCAGAAACGAAGAAAACCCAGCTTTATTCTGCTAATACTGGTAGTTTCAATGGAGAATAGCATCTGAATAAACTGTGTGTTTATGCAGATCCCGTTTCCAGTAAAAGCCAATAACACAAGCACTAGGAAATTAAATTCAATATAAAAAACAAACATATTTTTAAAAGATATGCCACCTTTCATACAGGAATTTTAAAGACCAAGTTCACTTTTTTTTTCCAAACACGTGCGATCGTCTTTAGTATAAATGAATGCCTTGTGAGTTGATCTCAGTGGTAATAAAGCTCTGGCGCTCAGGAACCACAAGTTAGCTGGAGGAGAGGTGGGCTGAAGACGGCAGGTTTTGGAGTCTCATTTCCTGATGTTTGGACATCTCACCTCTGATTGGACAACAGCAACGCAACTCTACCACTGATCTGTTTGCTCTGCAATGTTGATGTTTCATCTCCACAAATAACACAAGCTTGAAGGATTTCTGCTGTGCTGTGGAGTTACTAATGCTAACAGTTAGCTTCTACTGACCAAGACGTTCTTTGCTGTTTCCTGGATGCTAAAACAGCCTTTATCATTGCGAGTCAAGATGGGTGAATCCATGAATGCTAATTTGACACTGTGACGTGCTCACGTCACTGGCTTGTCTAACCCGAGAGTTCCCTCTCCTCTTTTCTATCGGCGGCTAATGCAGGAAATAGGGGTGGAAGACTATTTTCACATTTGGCCTGTATGTTAAACTTGATCTTTAAACAAAATCATCAAATTAGAGAAATAATGGAGTTAGAATTGTTCTGTTCAAATCCGTTAGCTACAAATCACTCTCAGCTACAACTGTATGCTAATTAACTCAACATCTGTAAAACTGAGTCAGTTGGAGCCATCTCTCAGGTCTTTAATGTGGTGGCATTAAGTTTATCACCTGCAGCAGACCATAATAAGCACCCTACCAGACAAAGACATGGACTGAGTCTGACCTGTGTGAAGTACTGCTGGATGAATTTGTAGAGTTCTTTCAGAGCTGCAGCTTCATTGAATTCATTTTCATGTTTCTGAAAGAAAATTAACATTAACATCCCAGAATTATTTCGTATAGCCCAGATGTTCATCAAAAGTAAAATTATTGGTTCACAAAATATTAACAGTTCATAAACTTTTTACATTTTAGAAAATATTTCATTAGACTGTTAAACTTTAGATGAAAGCTGAAGCTGAATCAGCGAATAAATTACCATCTAAACAAACGGTTTTAAACTCAGGAAATTAAAATTATTGTAAAACACCAGATTCTGCCTGTTTCCAAATATCTGGAGTGGGTTTGAGTTCAGTGAAAACACCGTTTACGTAACCTTCCTGTCAGCTCTACATTTGCAAAACACCGGACTTCACCTTTGACTCTTCCTGCAAGAAGTTCTTGAATTCAGTGTCTGTGACTGGCTGCTGGTCTCGGATCTGTTTGTAGTAAACCTTCACTTCCTGTTTGAACTTGGGAATGTCTTTAGCATAGAGGAGCTTGTTGGTGGGTGCATGCTGAAACACACACATTAAAAGTTCATTAGCAGAGAAATACTCATAAAACTGATTTAATGTGGACAAATGATTTCATTTAGACTCGTTTCATTTCTGCCTTCTTAAGTGAAGACAACTGGTCTTCTCTTGTTACCCTGATAATGTTTCACCCTCTCATCCAAGAGGCTTCCACAGACCTGAAACATGAATATCAAGCTGATAAGTAAACACACACTGGACTATTGTCACTAATGAGGCCACGAAGGTCACACGATTATCCGATCCTACTCTCTAACCATTTCCCTGTTATGGCCCTTTTGCACTAACACCTACTCAGTACCGCCCAACTCGGCTCAGCACGGTTGCAAGGCTTTTCCTTCTGGAACCAGGTTGCTGTCCCTTCTTTAGAACAAACTTGGATATGGTTCCAAGCGTTTACCGTACTGGGCCGAGCTGAAAACAGGACATTACATCATTGTCATTTACAAATAAGCTAGGGGGTGGAATCACACACTCTCTTGAGTAACTTCCAGAGTTTTCTCTTTGCTACCCGCAGACCTTTCCAGTTCTTGTCTTTTCCAAGTCTGACAAAAAGCCACAGACTGAGCAGAATGTTCAACATCACTATCATGTCCACCACTGTTGCTTCGTGTTGCGTTTGTGTCACGCATGAACCACCTCGAGCTTCTTTTCTATGGCGAGTGAATTCTGCCACGGATTACCAGCCGGAAGAAACCTTCGTCTAAAGTTAATGTTTGAAAAGAATCCCTTGGAGAAGCACGTCATCTCTGTATGGTGTGGAGAAGTACACCGCCGTTAGTACAGTGTTTGTGAAAAATAAAAGAATTATGGTTTTGATGTTACATATTGGTGAAACTGAAGGAATAAACCAATCAAAATGACTTAACGAGGCGATCAAAACAGTTGTGACAGAATTTACTCGCCATACTTTTTAAATTCTGAAGACCGCCCGGCAGACAGAGCCCACCCAGTAGAACCGCTTCTCAGTTGTCATGGAAAACCACCCAAACAGTATTTTGTAGAGTTGAGCCATGATGAGGAGGTGCTGTTGGAAAAGGGCCACAGAAGTCTTTAACGCTGACGATCAGAACAGAACCCTAACAACGCCAGCACGTACACTGTTTTGCTTTCATGTCTCAAGGTGTGAGTTTCTATAAAACTGCTCTGGGAGGCGAGTCAAGGCTGCACTCGGGGTCACGGACAAATGAAACCTTGACTTGTTTCCCCGAGCATAAACCTGACACGTTCAACCCACGTTTCAGAAATAAAGAGGCTTCTTTGATGAGAGGAGAAACAAGAAAAGTCTTGTTTAAAACCCTCAAGACTGTCCTGGATGACTGAGAATTGACACCAACAGCTTTCTGCGTACTGTTCCAACAAAGAGAGGAAGACAGCACTTCCTGTGTTTTGCGTGCTCATCTCTACCTTCCCCAGCTGGATCTCACTGAGAGAGAAGCAGTCCATGAATGCCTGAGCGATGACGGACAGACAGCCGTCCAGATGCGGAGTCTTCTCCATGTCAAAAACAAACTGTGGGTTTTTAAGGATGTTGACCCAGAACCGCAGCGGCAAACTGGTGTCGAGGACAAAAATCGGTTATTTAACTAAAAACTGGCTCTTGCATTTATTTATTATCCACACAGATCCAGGTGTACCTGTTGGTCTTCCAGATGTGTCGGACATCTGGGTCTGAGATCTTCATGTTGTCTGCCCGAGCATCCAAAAAGTCAAAGAAATATTTGACGGCGTGCGGTGCTTTGCTTTGCGGCATTCCCCAGATGGAGTTGAAGAGGTTCTCCACATATGAATGAACAGCAACCTTAGAGATGACACACCATGCGTTTAGACCTTCACTCAGACTTTCACCGATACAAACTATAAAATCTGATTCATTTATATCTGAATAAAGGCTGGGATTCAAATTTAATATAAAAAACAGCTACTTCCTGTTACTGTGAAGGCCCGAAGTGGACGGTTTAGTGAAAGTGTCTATAAATAAGTCATTTGCTGGTATCATTTCTACCAGCCGGCCTGGGTTTGTCTGAGTCACACAGGTTCCTGTAACTGGTTCCTCTTGCCTTGGTGGAGAGCAGCTTGGTGAGGTGCAGTTCCTTCAGATTTAACTTCTTCCTCTCTGGACTCTTTGCTTGGTCCTCGACTACATCAGGATCGATCTGGATCGGAACATCAGTTAGGAAACGACTCAGCGACTCCATTACACCACGACCTTTCAGTTTTCACTGCTTTAAACACACGTTCTCTTACCAAATGGAAGTATTTTCCTGAGAAGTTCTCATCATCTGGAGGTAAATATAAACAAAAACTAAAATAAATGAAAAATCTCATAACAAATGAATTAAAGGGATCAGCAGTAATACATATGAAAAGCAAATAAAAACCAACACCATCATTTGATTAAACTTCCCAAACAATCTTTTACATTTAATTTACTAACGATTTACCCCACTGCTGATGGGTAAAAATGTGAAAATCACATATGTTTAAATTATTTAATGACATACACTACCATGAAAGGACCAGACTATAACTATGGTAATTAATTGATAATTATTTATCTTAGTAAATTATTGCATCACTAAAGAAGAACGATTACTGATCAAGGTTATTTTATGTTTAGTGTCCTAACATTGCAGAAGGCCACCATCCTACACCTTCTCGGTGGACTGGTGGTAGAGTGTACGCGCGTAGACTGGGAGATCGGGGTTCAAATCCTCGGTCGGGCCATACCAAAGACTTTATAAAAATGGGACCTAATGATTCCCTGCTTGGCACTCAGCTTTAAGGGGTTGGATTGGGTGGTTAAACCTCCAAGTGGTTCCTGAGCACAGCCACTGCTGCAGCTCACTGCTCCCCACAAGGATGGGTCAAATGCAGAGATGTAATTTCACCTGCGTGTGATGATGACTAATAGGACTTTAGTAGTTCCTCTGCGTCTCCACATCAATTATATAATTGACATCTGTAGCAAGTCCTCAGGTTCTTGCCCATTAATAAGTTGATTTAAATCACAGGTGTTATCCAGCACAGAAAATGATTGTCTTTGAGGACCAGGACTGGACACGATGCTGTGAGCTTTCACCTTTCAGACTCGTCTGTGGGCTCAGAGGAGGATGATCTTTCTTTGAAATCACTTTGATGGCTGCTCCATCGCTAATCTGCAGGAGAAGAAACAGGTTCATATTTTAGTCGTTTGATTTGAGACTTTGGCAGTTTTCTTTTTAGGAGCTCTGCAGCTCCAAAAACACCGAGTTGCTGACTGAAGAGATCACTGAGTCTATGCTGAGTCTACTGTTTCGATGCAGCTTCTGCCAGAGTTAGAAGCAATGAAGTCAGCATCGGTCTGACTGGATTTCTTTGAACTAAGAAGCTAGAAAATGAAACAGATAGGTCCCTTAATGAATGGATGAACAGTTACTACTAGCGTTAGGACTGATGGGAGAACTCCGAAGTATACGGTACTTTAAATGAAGAAACTGAGTTTTGGGTTTCAGAACAGCTGGAGTATTGCCCATGGCAACCACGGGAAACTTTAGACACAAGAACAGGAAATTCCCTTTTAAGCTCTTGAAGAATACAGTTATTAATGTGAAAAACAAGTAAGGCCACAGCAGACACGTGGAGAGACATGTTGCCTGAATCACTGCATTTTAGATACTACTTAATGTGTGTGAGAATGTTTAAACATTCAAAAACATCTTAAACTCAGATTAGCACTGAGTTGTACTGCGCCAACTCAAAGATGCTCCAGGTTTTGGTGTAATCCTGGTTATGTCTGGTTGGAGAATATTACAGAGAATCTGGGATTACCTGGGAACAAGAGAATATCCAGTCTAGGTTGGAATTCCTTGCCTGATGCAACAATTCTGCTTTTAAATGAGTCTGATTGTTTAAAAATCTTCCTTTGCCTATAAGCTGAACCTGTAGGAACTCAGCGTGTTTAATCAGGAGCAACAACACAACCAGTGGTGGACTGGCCATCGGGAGCACCAGGACACTTCCCGGCAGCCTGCCCACTGAACTGTCCCACTCAGAGATTGCTAACGCCCCCAAACCACCACCCCACACCCTCAGACAGAGAAATGGCAGACGCTTTCTAGTTTGCACTGGGGTTGAGACAAAAATCCCAGCCTGAATCATTGTCCCAGTCCGCTTCTGAACACAAGTCCTTTTGTCTTACACACACGCGCACACGGACACACACATGCGCACGCGCAGCTGCTCCTCCACATTGAGAAGAGCCAGTTGAGGTGGAGGGTTAGGTGGAGCTCTGCTAACCAATGCAGATCACTTAGTTATTACCACCTCCACCCAGACAACAACTCACAAACACACAAGTCAGATTTTTAGATTTAGACCAACATCGACGAGAACTGTGGTTTCTGCTGTTGTCAGCTTCACTTATACCTGATAGTACTTTAGAGTGTTGAGCTTCTTCATGTCCCCGATGACCTCAGAGCTCGCATCTACATCCTGCAGAGGAACAAATGACCCATGCTTCTCGTACTCTGGAGGAAAAACAAAACATTTGAACAATTTTAATTCTTAATTAAAAGTGAAACACCAGTTTGTGGCTGATTTATTTCTTCAATTTGAAACTAAAAAGCATCACTTCACTGCTGAGAACAAAGTTTAACAGAAAGTTTTGAAGCAGATTTAATATTAATCCTGAAATATTTTATTTTCTTCAAAACTTATTTTTTTAGATAAAAGTTGGTAAAACTGGAGGGAAATTCCCACTTATTGAATTCATGTCCAACCTGCATCAAGCTGAGGCTTATGGTCAGTGGATCTGAGTGCCAGGGTAGGTGGGGGTGGTGGTTAGCTTTAATGTGTCACTCACCAACACACACGTCTCTGATGGGGGTTTCGTATGGAAAGCCAAACTTGGCTCTGAAAGTGGAGAGGATTTTCTCTTTGAGCTGCTCCACGGTGTCACAGCTGAGAGCGTTCACCTCTAGGGGTTGGCTCACTTCTCCATCACGTCCCACAGCAAACAGAACCTGTAGCTTCTGGAAAAACAAAACACAACCAACTGAGATCTGATTTTGTTTCATGTCATTCAGAGGTACTAAATATGATGTTTTATGCCCTAGAAGTCCTAGAGTTGGTTCGTCTCCCGGTGAATGGAAAGTGCTATAGAAACAAAGTTGTTGGTGATGGTGATACTTCACAACCCACACGGTACCAGTACATGTACACAGCCTAAAACCAGAAAACCTTCTAATAAAATCTCCTAGCAACCAGGAGTCTTTTTAATCAGATACTTGAACCATCTTAGCTGACTCCTGGTGATGAGGAGCAGCAGCAGGTCTCCTCGGAGAGCCCAGCCACTCCACAAGGCAGAAGCACATTTCAGCTGCTTGTTTTCAGAATCTCGTTCACACTGAGATTTACTTTTCTGGGTGAGCCCAGACTGTTCTCTCCCCAGCTACTTCCACCCAGACCATTATTTTGCTGAAACAAAATGATTTTACTTTGCATGACAGTTTAGCCACGCCCAGTACTGTGGCTGGCCAATCACAGCATGTGTATTTAGAAAAACTATCTATTTTCATCACCCGCAATCTGTCCTGGGTGTACCGACCTGAATGCCCGTTGATTGCTGGAGATAGCCCCCCCCCCCCCCCCCCCCTGCATGGACAAGTGGGTTCAGATAATGGATGGATGGATACATTTTCATCTTCTTCCATGATGAATGTTAGACTGCCCCATTGACTGACATTCGTAGCAGTCCAATCACTGTGCTCTAGTGGTTCGATGGGCCGATCACAGCACTTTATCAGTCAGGTGGGCAGGATGTTTGTGTGACTGAGCGAAACTAAGATGGCGACAGCTTGTTAACGATCCAATCACAGTGCTCTACTTGTGTGGTGTGCCAATCACAGCACCTTCATCACCCTCTCTTTATCCTGCTCTTTCTACCAACCCCGCCTTTCCTGGGATCCACTGACACTTCTTTCTTATTAATTTCTCTTTCCCTTTCCTTACATTTTTAATAAATTTTTTTTATGATTTTAACAATATTTTCAATTATATATATATATTTTGTTCTTGTGAAGCGTCTCATGATTTTTATCTCGATAGGCGCTAAATAAAGATCATTTTCTTTCTGTCACTCTGTTAGCAGGTGGGATGTTACAGAAAAAGCAAAGATGTGACAGCTCCTTTGAAACAGCTTCATCAACTTTGAACTATGTGGACTTGGGCTTTTCTTCAAGTCAAGAGCAGATAGAGGTAGGCTACTTAAGTTCATTTAGACAAAGAATTTGCTTCATCTCTGATGGAGTATGGCAGACTGCCTTGTTGACTGACATCTGTAGCAATGGTATGAACAATACCAACAATAATCACTATCATAATACTTACTAGTTACATTAGCCATACTAAGTAAATACCAGCTGCTTACGATTGTTCAAGGCAGAGTTTTAATCAACATTCATGTTTAGGTTCAGAACGCGCGCACACACACACACACACACACACACACACACACACACACACACACACACACACACACACACACACACACACACACACACACACGCACACACACACGCACGCACGCACGCACGCACACACGCACACACACGTACACACGCTTAGCAACATATTTGCTGTGTTTAACCTTCCTGTTAAGGTGTGTGCAGTGGAAAAGATTTAGTTAATTTGTTTTGTTTGAATGCACTTCTGGTTTCAGCAAATCAAAAGACCAAAAACAGAACAGAAAATTAGGAAACAAGACATTGTAGAAGCAGAACCGTCCAAAGGTTTAGAAAATACATGTGTTGAGCAGAGATCTGCTGTTTACTGATTAATGAAACCCTTTTTCACATGAAATGATTCCATGTTTCGGCTTAGATCATCTGTGTGTGTGTGTGTGTGTGTGTGTGTGTGTGTGTGTGTGTGTGTGTGTGTGTGTGTGTGTGTGTACCAGAGGGCTGAAGTCCTGAGCCTTCCACAGTAGCCAGTCCTCGCTGAGCGTGTACAGAGCCTTCTCCGTCACACAGTCCACTGGGCCTTTGGAGATCTGCTGCGTGAGAGCGCTCACCAACAGGAACAGGTGCTGTCCAACACTCTCCTGCACAAATCACAACAAACTGGCTGGGAGACTCTTATGTAAAGTGAGACTTTACTTTCAGAAATCCAGAGTTGTTATAAACAAGGTAAATATACAAACTGATAGAGTCTGAGCCCCCTCTGACAGTAAAAAAATGTTTGTTACCATGGAGACATGTCCTTTAATGGAGCTGGCGTGACATTTATAAGCAGTGGAGACCAAAAGGAAGTGGTTTAAGAGATGACATCAGAACCACTTCCAGTTTTAAATAACAGTCACTTACCTTCTGCCCCTTCTAAATATATAAACCCAAACTTATAAATACATGAAAGCTAAGAGTTTGTGTTCAAATAAAAAAAGAACATCTAATTTTGTTGGTTTGCTTCTTCATTTAACAAACTAAAGGTGTCCAAGTGTCTTCACCAAACAAACTGAAATATTTGCATGTTTGAATCTGATACCAGTAGCATGCATGTACAACCACACATACAAATGATGGCCACCAATAACTAAGCAGATCTTATCTTCCACTCAGCGATAAAGCACACATTTTACTTAGACACACTAATAATTTGCTTACTATCTGCATAAACATTTAAAATCCGTAAAAGCAGGGTCGCCCATAACAACAAGCTATAACTTATTTGTGTGTGTGTTGAAGGCAAACCTTTCTAGGTTAATTTGTATTTTTTAACCAGAGAACTTTGAAAAAATGGACAAAAATGCCTCAAACACTGTTTTGTAATGCATTTGATGAGTTTCAAAGATTCAGTAAATGAAATCATTACAATAGGAAAAGAAGTAATGGAAAAAGAACAGATGTGTCAATAACAGAAGTCACAAAACTGGCTAAGTTAATCCTTCTAGTCACCTTTAACTCTTCTTTCATATTTTTTCCCAATATGCTAAACAACAAGAAGAAGAAACTATTTATATAACACCACTCAAGATAAAAATCACCTTCACAGTCTGACTTTCAGAAAAATGAACCATCATGTAAGTTCATGTGTTGATTAGTCATCACTTGTTGTCCTACCTAAACAGTATAAACAGTCATGGGAGTCTAAAAGTACAGACAGAGGACATTTTTTTCTCCCAGGGGGACGACTTGGACTCTGTAATGTGATTTGGAAAAGGAGATCAGTGTTCAAACTGTGTAAATATATTATTTGGGTAAAAAAAAGAATATTCAATAGAATAAGAACCAGAATTTACTGTAGGATCATCTGGCTTAACTGGTCCTTTATAATCTGAATAAGACCGAACAGAAACAGGGCATGGGGCCATTTTGCGTTTACTGAAAGCAACATGGTGTGGCAAATGTTGCAGTTCCACCCTCATCCACTAGGGGCTGGCATCAAAACAGAGTTCCCATTGACTCCCGTGTTTAACGTGAGAGTGGAGGCATGGGTGGAGATGTATCTCATCCACACTTCCTGTTAGGGAAATGCTTCTGAAAGAGGCGTCACCTGGCGAACCGAGAGAGCGGCACTGAGACAGTAATAGACCGCACCCCCCTCAACCCTCCCGCATGCGCTGTCGGAGTTTCTCAGTCTAAAACGAGTTGTTAACGAGCGCGTGCGTGCACTCACACAAGACTTAGCGCTCGGGAATAAAGTAGACACAGATTCTGCAGCATAGAGCGCCGGACGTCACGTGACTCTCAGAGAGGAGACGCCATGTTGGCAGGCAACAAATGTAAACAAATTGAACGGGATCAGCTTGGATTTTACTTCGTCGGAGTTTACTTCACACATTAAAACCGAAGAAATCGTTTTATATAGTCAGAAATTAAATAGACTAAACATCTCCGACCCTTACCGTGCCCCTGGGATACTTTTTAAAACGCCAGAAGCTGTCGGAGCGGACTTCTTACCGGACCTGGCCGGGGAACCCCTTGGGATTCCCCCGGAGAAGCTGGCTCAGGCGGCTGGGGAGAGGGAAGTCTGGGCCTCTCGACTTAGGCTACTGCCCCCGCAACCCGACTCCGGATAAGTGGATGAAAATGGATGGATGGACAAATAACAGATTTACACGTAAGTAGTTTAAATAGAGTGCTGTGCTGTTTGAATGTATAACTGAACCCCAAGAGAAATCACTAGTTTGATTTTTTTTCCGTGAATAAAATAAATATGTCAGGCAGGAGCGTCTCAGGATCTGTATGAGATCGGTCTCGGTGAGACAGATAATAGCAATCCAAAGTGCTTTTTATGTGTGATCTGACAACTGATCAATCATTGCTTAAAAATTAAATACAGCTTATCCGGTTAATTGCTGTGATCATAAAACACGGAAACGGCAGCACGCAGAAATCTCGAGGCAACGTTTTACGTGATGTTTACTTGCTGCTGTGAGTAATAAGACAGAAAAAGCCACGCCAAAATAAGTTTAGGAAGCCCACTAAGAATCCTAATAAAAGCATTTAAAATAAATACCATACACAGTTGAGGAAACGTTGGTTTAAGTACCTGATATGAAGCGGTCGCTGCATAAGTGAAAACCTTTACTCTCGGGATCCCACAGTTTCATTTTAGCCCGGTCACTAACGCGTTTTATTACAATGATCCAACGTTTGCGGCGCTCCGGATCTTAGGGAATCCTGGCTCATTCCTTATGTCGTCCGCGTCTGTTCTGCATCCTGGGACACAACAGGAATCTACCATATTTCCTGTCTGATTGAGTTTTCTGACAATAACAAATAGTCCAGCTGCGGGCTTCTGCCTGCCAATATGGCGCCGTTTTCGATTTGAACTGTTGCATGCCGGGAGACGTGACATCAACTCCTGGAGCTCTATACTGGAGGATTTCCTGTTAATCGTTAGATGAAAAAGGGGAGGAGGGCATTTTTTTTCAAGGAGGCGAGCGGCTCAGAGCGCTAATGCGTCAAATCAGCAGGTGGCTGAGACAGGTGGAGGTGCTGCTGCCTCACCTGGAGACCAGTGCGGTGCAGCCACGTAGTAGTTTGCTGACAACATCACATTTTTCAGCTTAGCCATCAGCCACAGCTGGTTCTACATAAATGTGGAGCAGAGTTTTAACCTGAAGATGGAGATATGATTAAGGTTTTGGGCTGAAATATTAGAGTAAGTTGCACTAAACTGCAACACTAATGATTACGCAAGTGTACAGCAGCATTAGACACTCATCTATACAGGTTATCAGCACAAAAAAAAAGAGTTAATTTCGGCTTTACTTGCTCTTTAAAATGCAAATTTCACATCAGAATTAAAGATGTTTACAGCCTGGTTCAAAAAAACATTTGAAGTTAAATAGATCTAGTTTACATTCATGACAACTCGGGGGGAGGGGGGTTTGGAACTCTCCTGTTTAAATGAAATGTAATGCTTACAATTCTGAATAATTAATGAGTATCAGAGCCATGTCAGAGCCAGAGCTAGCGCTGGGAACTAGCTCCGGGGAAAGACCTCAGCCTGGGCCTCAAGTTAATATATGTTTGGTCATTTCCACTCTGAACTTTAGTTGTGTCCTCTGTGTGGAGTTATTTGGATTTTTTAACCCTCTCAGGCTCAAAATAAGTTTTCATAAAAGGACGAACAACTAAGTCCTTCAGGGGTACTTCTGAGTTAAACAAATGCTCACGAAATACGTATGTGGAGTAACCAGGTAGGTAGGTTTTAACTGTTGCCTCCAGAGGGTTAAACCAGTAATATATATATATATATTTCTGTACTTTATTTTGCTGGTTGAATGGGGGGAAATGCTGCATCATTTAACTGCTTGGTCAATCGTGTTAGAGGGGCTGCATGAGAACCTTGAGTGGATGTCCAGCTTCTCCTCTCTCCTGCTCGGGAACAGTTGTTAGGGCAGGCGGCTGGCTGTTCCTGTTTACCAGGGCAGCCAGGACGCTTTGACCGGTAGTCATGTTGATCACTTGTGGATCTCTGAGGGAGACCATAGAAACACCAAAGCTCTTTTAGTTGACGCTGCTTCATTTTTGTTGCTCAACTGCATTTTTCTTGCTAACAGAATGGGGGATGTTTGAGCCGGGAGCGTCAACAACGGCGGACTCGCAGATCTTTGACCACGGTGGATTAGTCGAAGCCTGATATCCAGGGTCAACTTACCTAGTTATTTAGTAACTTAGTATTTAGGTACTAAGCAGGCCGGAGGTGACATCAATTTGGAGTTGCTCTACCACGTTTTTCTTGCTAAAAACGCCCGGATAAACTCCATTATGTTTATGTATTTAGCAGACGCTTTTGTCCAAAGTGACTTACAGGTGATAATCAAGCCATCTGGTTGCTCTTGAGGCTAACAACAAGCACTATTCAGTAAATCCTAGGTAGCAGTGAGGCAGCTTAATCAATCACAGATGGACATGGAGTGTTTTGTATGAGATTTCCTATGTAGTGGGAGCGCTTGAATGCACCACGAAACCGGCTAGCATTGGTATTCAGAACATGGCAGGATAAAGATTCCGTTCCCGAACTCCGTGGGTTTTTACTTATTATTGTTGACCGTCAGAGCGACGTTACATGGTGTCAGAAGTGGGCCAGAGATGGTGAGAGGGGGGAGTTGGACTTCACGAACCCAGGAGAATGGGCAGAATGTAAACAAAGATTCTCACGCTACAGAATGGTGACAAAGCTAAACAAACAAGAGGGAGAAGTCCAGGTCTGTTTGCTAATATATGCCAGGGGCAGAGAAGCAGAAAAGATATTCAGCTCATTTGAATTCGCTGATGAGGGGGCCACAAAAGACTTTGATGTCGTACTTAAGAAGTTTGATGATTATTTCATTCCAGGAAAGAATCGGATTCATGAGAGGGCCTGTTTTTATCAGCTGCCGGGGGAAAAGGCAGAGGCACATATAAGAGCTTTGTTTGAGCTGGCAGAAAACTGTGAGTTAGGAGACAAAAGGGACGAACACACCCGGGATAGGATGGTTGTCGGGATTCAAGACAGAGGATTGTCACAAAAGTTTCAGCTCACTGCGGACCTTACACTAGCTCAACTTATTCAACAAGTCGGACAAAGTGAAGAGGTAGCTAGACAAGTTATTCTCCAGACGGCCTCACCAGAGCTACAAGTGGCTAGCGCCAGCAGCGGAGAGAGAGAGACAGCAGAGACACAACGTCAGTGACTACTACACCCAAAGTGAGAAAAACCTGAGAGACTGAAATGTCCAGCTTTTAAAAGCACCTGTAAGAATTGTAACAAGGAGGGACATTGGGCCAGCATGTGTCACACAAAAACAGTGGATGAGGTCACAGAGACTTTGAATGAATTCCAATTCCTGGGAGCCGTTAGTGGGAATGCTAGCCAGGAAAAGTGGACTGTAGATCTTGTGATTAAAGGTTCCCTCCTCACATATAAAATAGACACGGGGGCCGATGTGATCCTTATAAGTGAGAAGACGTTCAATCTCTTAGAACTACGCATAAACTGGATCATCCCAGAGACATGTTTTGTAGGTCCAGGTGGAGAACTAAGATGTTTAGGTTTGTTCAAAACCAACACATCATTTAAGGAGAAAGAATACACATTCCCAGTGTATGTGATACAAGGACAAAGCAGCAATTTGCTCAGCCAGCCAGAAGCTGTGAAGATGGGATTGGTGAAACGAGTACAAAGCCTTAGCTCCATGGGTTTTTACTTATTATTGTTGACCGTCAGAGCGACGTTACATGGAGTGTGCAGTAGAGTGGGGAACGGGTGCTGGGAGGGTGCTAGTTTAGAAGATGCTCTCTGAAGAGCTAAGTCTTCAGGAGTTTCTTGGAAATAAAAAAGGAAGCCCCTGTTCTAGTAGTGCTTGGTATGTCATTCCACATTTGTGGAACGACACATGAAAAGAGTCTGCATTAGCTTCAGGTTAGCTTGTAGCTAATGACCCGCTGATCTCCAACTGGTGCCTATCTTCAGCGGTCAATGAGCAATCAGGCGGGGTACACCGTGGACAGAGAGCCAGTCCATCGCAGTCTCTGCAGTTTCCTGGATGCTAAACCAACAACATCCTTACCTGTTGTGAGTCAAGATGGGTGAGTCCAAATGACAGCCTGACCTAGATCTGTCAGGCTTTTCACATCCTAGCGTTCTACCATCTATTTTTTTATCAGAAGCTAATGCAGGAGATAGGTGTAGGAGACTATTTTCACATTCGGCCTGCATGAAAAACTCAGAGCAACTCATCATTTTCACAAACAGTAGATAAAAAATAGTTTCCTACCTATCCTCACTTCTTCAAATAGTTGTTCAGCTAAGTTCAAACTATAATTTTTAAAGAACCACAACAGTTACAGACCCGCAGGAAGCCGTAGAGGCAGATGGACATCCAGTTAGTCAGCAGCTTCTCCACTGTGGACTGTGTGCGTCGTAGCAGCAGTTTTGGCTGGCTGTTGCTGTTCTGATGCATCAGATCCTCCAGCAGAACCTCCATCACATTCGTCAGATACAACAAGTTGCTGTGAAGCGCTACAGTGAGCAGAGATGCAAGAGAACACCTAAAACAAACACACACAGGGTGAAGGACATGCTGAATAACATTTATGTTGGATCATGATGGGAGAGACTCATCAGAACAAAGATTACTTGTCTTTGATGGTGAAGCTTTTCTGCTCCTCCAAGGCGTGCACCACAGAGGTGAGAAAGAGCTGGTCCTGGATCAGCTTGGACAAACTCTGACAGCCCTCATCCAGCTTAACTGTCACCACATCCTGGTACCAGATCAGACAACAAAACATCACTGAAGGTAACAAACTTAGAAAATCTAGCAGACGCTACCAAACCTCACCTGACCAATGTCTTTGATACACAATCTAATTAATCTGTCACTCTGAAAAACAAACAGAAAACGGATCTGGTAGCATTATATGCATTCACCATATCCTTGGATTTCATTGTGATTCAGTGTTTGTCCTTCAGGTTTATTTCACCTCAGGAAAAAAGATTCTGGAAGCAAAGTGCTTATAGTCCAGGAAAGGAATCGCTCCAACGTTTTCCATCAGATCGGCCTTTTCTGTCTGCAGATCCACAAACCCTGTAGAGAAAAACCTCAGTGAAAATCGTTAATGGACCACAGATCATTTACAAAGCAGTCAGAATTCCTCTTAACCCTCCCACTGTCCTAATGGGTGACCCTGTGAGGAAAGTTGACCATTGAGCAGGGTTGATGGTTAATCCCTTGGGTCCATGTGGCTGGGGTGAAGAGTGAGCACCACCAGAGGCGGTTTTACCATTAGGCATAGGTAGGCGGCCGCCTGGGGCCCCCATGTGTTGGGGGGCCCCCTAGCCCTGACCACCGGCACCCCTCTGTTAACGCCACAACATTATTACCAACCTGTGGCCGCAGACGGGATTGGACATGCGCACTTCTCATTACCATAATTCCTGAACCGTTGAAGATATCATTAAAATTCCAAAAGTGCTGAAAAGATTAAAAGCGGGGCTTTTCGTGCATGTACAATACATTACGGTAGCCACCGGGATTCCCTGTCTTGAGCGCAACGAATCACAACACAGATTGAGAGACGTGCTGAGTTTGTCATCCAAAATGTTCACGTTTATAACTTTTGAACGGCTGATCTGATCCAAGAAATTCCAACGGTTCCTAAAAGTACATAAAAGCAGCTTTCCAGCGATCTATAGCATGAAGCAATCAGAGTTAGGGAAAATATCGCTACGAGGGGAAATCCTGCTGTACAGCCTGATTGAAATGGAGCGCAGCGCCGCGGTGAAAGCGGATAACGGAACGGGGAAGCTAATTAGCATAAAAACCAGCATGAAATTATGGAAATGCCTCAAAGAAAATCAACACGATATGTTTGGTGTCCCAGAAGGCTTATATCTGAAGACAGTGACCATGAAGAAAGACAGATCTCCGGTGAACCAGGATATGAACGTTTGTTCGGTCTTTATATTTTATTTTTTTATTTGAAAACCCCTCAACTATTTGCTAATTGTAAGATTCAGCTTCATTCCAGCATTATTTATCTTTTTACCATAAATAATTATTTTTGCTAAAACAAAAGTTTTTGGTATAGCAGTGCACGGTGTGCCAGAGAAGCACCCCATGGCAGTGTGAGGTGTGCAGGACTCTGCCTGCAGCTGGAGAGAAACTGCTTCAAGGTCTACCACATCAGATAAAAACGTCTGAAAGTTTACAAAAATAAAGTCTTAAAAACTGCTAAAAAAGATACCAAGATTCACACTTTTTTAAGAATAGATGCATTTCAGTTCAAAGTTTAAATTGTTTGCCCAGTCATTTTGAAGTTCCTGTTCAGTAATAACTGTAAAAAATTCAAATCCGTTTTTTGCTTTTTTCACTTTTAAGCTGATTTTTAAAGGCTGTAATAGAAATACATTCTAAATAGAAGAAGAAGAAGAAAATATAATTTCTATAGCGCCTCAAGATAAAAATCACGAGGCGCTTCACATAAACAAAAAATATATATAAAAAAGCATTTAGAAAATGTTTAAAAATATATTTAAAATGAGCAAAAAATAGGCAATTGTGATTTAAAAGAAAAAATGTTTAAAAAGAGAGAGAGTGAATAGGAAAGAGAGAAATCAGTGAGGAAGGTGGAATAGGTGGGGAGAGCAGAAAAAAGAGAGAGGGGTGAAGAAGGTCATACAAAAGCCAGCTTGAACAAGTGAGTCTTCAGCTGCTTTTTAAAGGAGACCACTGAGTCCACTGATCTCAGGCTCAGGGGAAGAGAGTTCCAGAGTCTGGGGGCCACAGCAGCAAATGATCTGTCACCTTTGGTCTTTAGCCTGGTGCTGCACAACCTTTGATCACTGGACCTCAGGGACCTGCTGGGGGTGTAGGGACTAAGAAGATCACCAATGTAAGATGGTGCTTGTCCATGTAAGGCCCTATAGACCAGAACCAGGATCTTGAAATGAACCCTGAAGTTGACTGGCAGCCAGTGAAGCTGGAGGAGAAGTGGCTTCACGTTTCTTTTCGTGAAATGTTATAGTGGTTTGGAAATACAAACCATACACTGAAAGCTGAGGTTGTTCTGAAAAAAGGAGAAGAGTTACACACACTTTGCACTTTTTATTACAATTTTACAGCCATAAGATTAAAAAAATACCAGGCGGCCCTGTTATAATTATGGTCATAAGAGGGTTATTAAGACGGCGATGCACAAACAGGAAGTGATTGGTAGTCATTCCACTCCAATCCAGTTGGTGGCGGTAATGCACCAAATTGTTGTTTGCCAAGTGCCATAAGACCACAAATAATAATAAGAAGAGAGGCGGGAGCATTCGTAACAAACTCAAAGCGATAGTCAAAACATTTAGCATGAAATGGAGTTATCCTAGTGGCTCCAATAAGAGAAAGAAGCAGCTTGCTTCATAAAAGCTTTTATCTTCACTTCTGAAAGTGACGTCGTTTTTCGATGTAAACATCAAAAGGAAGCAGAAAAGGAAAGACAATGGAAAATGTTTAAAGGGCGGAAAACATAGACCAAAATGGAAAATAGAAAAAAAACTAAGGCTAAAGCACAGGAGCACTGACAGAAAGAAGAAAGCAGAGCAAATATTGAAAGCACTCAAAGGGAGGGAAGTACAGGAAAAAAGAGGAGGACTAATAAAAAGGGAAAATAACTCATGTCAGAAGAGGGGAGAGTTTCGCAAATCCAGTTAAAGGTAAGATTGTCGAAAATTTAGTGTAAGGGGCCCCATGTCTGTGTTCGCCTTGGGCCCCCAAATTGCTAAATCCGCCCCTGAGCACCACCTCAGCCACGTGGACCTCAAGGGATAAACCATCAACCCTGCTCAATGGTCAAGTTTCCTCGTGGGATCACCCATTTGGACAGTGGGAGGGTTAAGATTCTGGTGAAAATAAGACCATCAAACAAAAAGAGAGGAAATTAAAATGGCCAACATTGCACTGTTGCTGCGTCTATGCCTCTGGAGTCTCGTGAACAAATGGGCATGTTCTAGAAACCAGTCTGAGATGATCTGAGCTTTGCGATATGCTGCATGATCCTGCTGGAAGTAGCTATCAGAAGATGGGTTCGTGTGCTCATAATGGGATGGACATGGTCAGCAATAATACTCAGGTTGTGTCAAATCCCGGTAGATCCTGCCAGCATGGTAAAAATAACTACTATAGCAATTATTGAAATTATTGATTTAAATAGATTTTTAGACTGAGCTATTGGACAATTTCACAAAATAAGCAAAATGACTCTTGCATTTATTGAGGTGATCAGACCTTCAGCCTCTGCAGTCGCAATGATCTAAGCTAACCTCCTAATAAAGCTAACTCCTGCTGGATGCAAAAGCTGAATATGGATGGCTCTCTGACTCAAACATGAATAAAAGAAGTGAAAATGAAACCAGTTTGTGCAGAGTTTACAGAATGACCTAACAAGGAGATCTGAAAAGAATTGGAAATGTTTCCAATTAAAATAAAGATTTTAAAAAATTGTTTCCCCTATTTCTGATTCATCTGGAGTAAAACACATAAAATAACACGGTACTGACCTCACTAATAGAAACTTTATAGGCGGTTTTATTTTGTGTTACGTGACTTACTTTTACAGTCACCACTTTCACAATATGGTAACTGGTCCTGATTAACCTCAGTTAAATGATCATCATCAGATTCTCTCTCTCTCTCTCTCTCTCTCTCTCTCTCTCTCTCTCTCTCTCTCTTCTCTCTCTCTCTCTCTCTCTCTCTCTCTCTCTCTCTCTCTCTCTCTCTCTCATGCATTAAGCTTTGAGGTGACTCTAAAGATAAAAATGTGTCTAATCTAGCATTAGCAGAGTGCTCCTAATAAGAGAGTGTGTCTCCAAATCAGCAGCACAGCAGCTGTGAGAAAGAGTGCACCAGAATATTTAGTTACTTAATATTTTAACTCCTACATTTTAACTCCACTAAATCACAATTAAAGTAACAACACTTCAGAAAGTTCAACAATGGCTCACTAGTGCCCTCATACATCTTCTAAATTTGAAAAAGCCCGCCAGAGAGAAATGCAAGCAGTGACATCCTGCAAATTTAGTGTGACCCGGCACCACCTCTGTTGCCGTGAGAGGAGATCAGCACAGCGGTGCCATTCGTTTCACCAACCTCCTCGCTTATGGTGCCAGCACGGCACAACAAGTAACATCACATTTGCAACAGTGAACAAAGTAATAACTAAAAATAACACATCACCCCAAAATAAACATGCATAAACACCCCACAATAGAACAAACTAACTAAAAACATGACAACCCACAATGCACCTCGCCCCCTGCAGCTACTGCAACTTATAGAATAAAGGGGTGGAGTTTGCTAATGAACTATGCAGGTGTAAGAGCCACTGTGGGAGATCAGATTTAGCTTTTCAGGACCTATTTTGTCCTAAATGACACAGACAGAGTTTATTAGGAAACACTCTTTTTTACTGCCACCAACAACATATGATGTCATAAATACATACTGAAGTTCTTCAGATCCTCTTGAGGTAATGGCAGACGCAAACAACAGGATCGAGCAGTTTGAGTGACGTCATGTGATCATGTGACACAATCATCATGGATTTGAAGTCTACATTTACTTCGGGACAAATTGTTTTTCTTGGTTTCTTTCAAAGTGAGTGACTTTTAATTTTAGGAAAGTGAAATAAACAGGTTTAAACAAGAAATTACAATTTCTGAATTAAAACAATGTGAATTTTCAATTAAACTGAATTACACAGATGTTTCACTTATTTCAGTGTAAGAAGGTTTCACGTGTCACCAACTAAATGGTTTCTCTGCAGTTAGCTGTGTCTAAACTACCGTTTAACACGGTGAGAAACCTCGAAACATCCAGTCTTTTATAAGAAAACTAAAATCAGGACTTTGTGCTCAGATTTCTTCTTTTACTGTCAGAGAAGTGACTGACCTTGTCTGATGTCTTTTCTGATATCTAGCTCCAGGTCCTCTATTAACCTGTTCATCTTTGCAGTGAGCTTCTTCTGCTTGCTCTGGTAGACTACCACCACCACTGGACAGACAGAAAGAGAAAAGGTCCAAACCCAACCCTCCAGTTTGTGTGTGCGATGCTGGTAGAGATCCAAAAACAAGCTGTAGTCACTCAGCTTTACTCACCAGCAACAATAACGGGTATCAGCAGAAGGGCAAACAACATGAAAATGAGATTTGACGAGGAATTACTGAGTTTTATGGACTTGTCTCCATATCTGATCTGAAAAAGAAGAGCATGGAAACAGTTTAGGTTTGTGTGGAGTTTAATTTCCCTCTGAAAGGAACTGAGCTGATGATTCTGGAACACACACGGTCAGTACCAGAACCTGGAAGGACCCGTGGTACCTTGAACAACAGCACACTTTTGGATCTTACTATTTGCATGAAAAGGAAAGTAACTCCTTTATTTATATTCACACCTTTCAAGTACATCGGTCTATTCTGAATGCCCCTAACCGTGTACGTAGTGTATCATGGTGGAGAAGCGAGGGCCCGGGCGGGATTCGATCCCCAGACTCCCGGGGGAGAGTCATGCACGCTAACCAGTCAGCCAAAGGGACATCCCCTTGGCTAAGTAGCCAGGGCGCATGATCAATAGGGACACTGTGACAGGACGCTCACACTGCCACATCAGTGTACAACAGTGCCACCATGAAGAAAACACCGAGGGGGAAGTGCTGAAAGTGATGGAGAAAAGTAAACAGTTTTAAAATTAGCAAGGGGAAGTGAGCCCGAGCATGACTATGCTGGTTTTGTTCTTTTTGAACTAAGAGTTCTGGGTGTGGTTAACGGAGTAAAACTATAGAAAACACGGGGTTTTGTTGAATCCTAAATTCAGTTTTCTGGCTACTTGAGAGAGAAAACCAGGCTTTACTGACAAACTGAAATAATAAACCAGTATAAATTCCAGATGTTTTAGGTGTGCATGTTAGAGATTTACGAAGGAATGATGGTGTTCAACTCTAATTTCCTCAGTTCCTTTATTTTATCCTTCCTTGAGGCACCATTATGCATGTATAATGTTCAATAATATGACTCTAAGACTTTAGATTTTACCTCTAACTGGTTAAATTTAACCTCCTGAATTCCTTTGATCTCACAGCTGATTGAGTCAATCTCGCTGCTGCTTTCTTTGCCTTCTATGCTGCAGAAATGCATCTCCTCTTCCCGAATTCCCCAAACTGACAACTCT